GAATAGAAATGTTGCATCACCAGCGGAAAAGGGCGGACACCAGCAGTGACAGACCTGGGAGACAAGGGAATAGAAATGCTACATGGCCAACGGAAAAGGGCGGACACCACCAATGACAGACCTGGGAGACAAATGAATAGAAATGCTACATGGCCAGCGGAAAAGGGCGGACATCAGCAGTGACAGACCTGGGAGACAAACGAATAGAAATGCTTCATGGCCAAAAGACAAGGACACACCAGTGACAAACCTGAGAGACAAAAAAATAGAACTGTTACGTGGCCAGCGGAAAAGGGCGGACACCAGCAGTGACAGACCTGGGAGACACATGAATAGAAATGTTGCATCGCCAGCAGTGACAGACCTGGGAGACAAGTGAACAGAAATGCTGCATGGCCAGCGGAAAAGAGCGGACACCACCAGTGACAGACCTGGGAGACAAATGAATAGAAATGCTACACGACCAGCGGAAAGGGCGGTTACCACCAGTGACAGACCTGGGAGACACATGAATAGAAGTGCTGCATGGCCAGCGGAAAAGGGCTGACACCAGCAGTGGCAGACCTAGACAAATGAATAGAAATGCTACATGGCCAGTGCAAATGGGCGGACGCCATCAGTGACACAAAGGGCGGACACATTTTAAGAAAGAATTGGGAACCCCTAACAGCGAACTTTTTGGGGAAAAATGTGCTAACTATAACTGCACCATCGTAACTTTCCTGAAACTTGTGATCTACTACCCACTACTCACACTTCCCTTTTCTTCGGACTCCATCTACAGATCGCTTACTCTCCAAGCAAACGTCCCCACTGCGTCCTGCAGATCGGGCGCCAAAACCGCCAAGTCATGACTCACGTATTTGTCAATGGACTGATCCTGCGTGGCGGTGCGTAGATCGCCCCGCTTGTACGCTCCACGATCGAAGGGTGGGAAGGCGATCTCCTTGGGCTGAAGCCTGTGATTGGCAATGGCACCGGAAATGGCACGTCAGTCAGTCGAGCGTTTTGGGAAAGGGTCCATCTTGGTTCATGGATTTGGGGCTCATGATTCTTATATACGTGTTTTCTTCCATGAAATCAGATTCTTGTTGCGATTCCGGACTTTTTCAGTGCAGTAGTGTGTCGCTCTTTCAGAGGTCCCAAGCATTCCGCCGGTTCTTCAGTTTGCAGCAGCATCACGGCAGCAACGTCAGCTTGGCCTCAAGAAGGTTGGATCAGGCACCCACCAGTAGAACGTGCTCATCACCTGCAAGACGTGTTCACACTTAAAATGGTGCACACAAAACCTGGACCCCTCCCAAAATGCATCCGGGATTTCGAAAAGAACCTTGCGACACTGGAAAGCGGAATTCAGAAACACCCATCGAGTCTTCGGCTTCGGCATCGATCAGGCATTTTGGACAACACCCTTGTAGAAGAAGATCTTGTTTCTGCTCGTCCATATCTACTTTAGCAGCTCTTCTCAAGCCATCACTAGTTCCACCATTGAGGTCTTCTTTCACGAACACATCGTGCCCACTTTCCCCCTGAGCACCGCGAATGCGAATGGGTCCACGGCACTCACGACCCCGCCTGGGTGGGGAGCGCCACGAAGGCGGCCCAGTCGCGCGCCACGGCCGCAGCGATCGGCATCTGCCACCAGGTGGCCTTCTGCATCGTCATCTCGATGCTCCAACCGGCGCCTCACGCGCGGGGTGGCACCAGCGGCGGTGGCAGAGTCCGTGCAGAAGGGGTGGAGACCATGGAACACCAAGAAAACCAAGCGGGTTAAGTCCAAGACAGTGACAAAGCTGAGTGGCACGCAAAACTCAAAAGCAAAGGTCTTTGATCAGCCTGTTCACAATCAAAAGCAGCGATGCGACATGTTGGGGGTAGTAACCGGGAAGTTTGCTTCTGAAAATGTCATCTTTTGGACAACAGCTGGCGCTCACACTTTCACACGGGCCACTGTTTTGACACTTTTCTTGTAGATGTCACTTCAATGTCCCTACCCGAATTGTGCGGAGCAACAATCTTCCAATGTTTTATGGTGTCGTTGTGAAGCGTCTTGTCTTTTGGCTCTCCAACTCCCGCGCCGTGGTCCATCATGCATGGCCTCCAGTGAAGTACAGCAGGCATTTGGAGTAGTTGTTTCGGCAAAAGGGAGGAAGCCAGAAGTGTCCTCACAGGTGGCAGGGACAAGGAGGAACCTTTGTTACCGGGAAGTACGGAAAAACCTGTTCCGAAGTTTTATGACGTGAAGAGTATTCGAAGGATCAAGATCCATTGAATCATGGTGTCAACCAGACTAACGTTGCGTGAGCCCAGCAGTGGCGTCGCTCGGCAACATGTGCACTGCGAACATCGGGTTGTTCGAACATCTAGCGCCTGCTAGATTGATGCAGTAGAGAAGCCAATACCTGACTTTAAGACTGGGTGGATCTGCCTATCATGAACAGATAAATATATTATATATTTAAGAAAGGGTGCATTTTCTCCATCCAGTTGTGCTGCACAGGGTGGCCGCTTTGGCCACCAAAACCATGCTCCGACAAAAGGTTCAAGGGTTGAGCTTGAGATACGCCCACATCAGTCACAGTTAGAAGTCAACTGTTCAAGAAAGGGCACATTTTCTCCATCCAGTTGCGCTGCACAGGGTGGCCGCTTTGGCCACCAAAACCATGCTCAACTTCTTCCCACATCATCCAAGCTCTTCCTTTTGTAGGAGCACGAACCAAGCGGTCGTTGCAATGCCAGCTGAAGCAAAGAACTTGACCTTGGTAAACACATGAGGAAACTTGTGAGCGATCATCAACACAAAATCACACGAGGAGCAGGGAATCCGCTTCAAGTACCAAAGCGACGCCGTCTCTTGCGCATAATTTTCCATCATAATCTTGGGCGACAGCCACCGTCCTTTCCGTCTTGTGTATTCCCCATCCTCCGTTGTTTGGAAGTGCCACGTCGCACCTCCTGAAAGGAGGTTGCCAGGATCAAGCGCTTTCATTCCACCAAACTTCTCTACGGCAACTTCAACTCACGAAATCTGGTTCGAAAGGTCTGTCCGGCCATAATTTGGCCGCAGGGGGAAGATGACCGAAGCAAAAATCAACGACCGCCAAAAGGTCCGGGATGTCAAGTTTCGCTGACTGGTGTTTGGCACCTGTCCGACGTGTCTTCGGCTCTTGGATGGACAGCAAACCAAAACAAACTGTATTGTCAACATCTCGAGGTAACAGCAGGTCTGCTCTAGAAGCAGCAAAAAGTTCACCAGCTCTGCATAGAGCTCCCCAGCCCAAACCCGCGAAACAAGTCCAGCCCCATGCGAGGCTGACAGTTAACATCGCAAGGAGAACTTGCCATGGCATGGCCACGTGATGTGACTCTGGTTCAGCATGTAACCACGAGAAAGCTACATCCCAAGAGCCCTGCATCAAGCGTCTCAAGGCAGGCTTCTTGGAAGTCAGCGTAGCGCGTTGATCGTTTCAGCAAATTGGTTGTAGGGTTTTCCCGCCAAAAGCAAAGCCCGTCCGTACGGAGAAACAACGGCTTTAATGTTATATAACATGCTGCTGCAACAAACGCTCGAAATCAATCCCACAAACGCTCGAAATCAATCCCCTCCGCTTCAAGCCAAGACTCAAACTGCGACCAGTAACGCTCTCGAGGCTTGCCAGTCACAGGCAGCTTAGGGCGTCCCTCCAGACGCAGGCCTAATGCCTGCCTTTCTTCAGCTCTTGCTTGTTCAGCAGCCTTGTTTGGTGTCATGGCACACGCCCCGCCGCGGCCGCTAAAAGCAAGCGCCCAGCAAAGCAGGCAAGAAAGTCGAGAGAGCTTGGCAAGAAACATGAGAGGAAGGCGAAAGGGCCAGAAAAGGATGGACAAGCGGCCATGCCAAACGCAAGGCAAAAAACCACAAGCCCTGGAACAAAATCCAAGAAAGGCAGTGCCTGGCTGAGATGGAGCGGGAGGGGCAAACACGGGAAGCCATCATAGGACCTTCCCCGAAAAAGCCAAAGGTCACGTCGAAATCCATCTTGGAGAAACCAAAAGGGCAATGCCTGCAGATGGGCGAGGACCCATAGGGAATTCCTGCGTCTGGCAGAATGATTCGCTCTGTTGCCAAGCGCGCCTGGACTATAAGGCACCTTAAAGTAGCCAGTTTGACACACGTCCTCAACGCAGCCAGATGCCATAGACCATGAGCTTCTGAAAGATCCATCTGCACGCCTGAGACTGATGGTCTGGGTCCACGATCAAGGGGTGACCATGAAAGTCGAAGAAATTCTCCTGAGTACTGTTGACAAAGCCTTGGAGGAGGACCTCCCAAAGCGCATCTGGCGACATTGGAGTCAACTAAATTGACGAAGGGGGCTTGTCCAACTTTCGCCTTCTCCTCAACAAGCTTCTCAACTGACTTAAGCTCAAGCAGATTGATATGGGATATGGGAGAACTTCCACACCTTCTTGACCTCCCAAAGTCTTCAAATAACAACTTCGCTGACCAACTGATTCTCCAGGCCATTGACGTTCTGGTTGCCTTCTTCAGCTCGAAGAAACCTGATAGTCTTGATGGCGTGAAAGAAAGCCGAAGGATCGCAGAGACCTTGGTGTAGACCCTTGGGCTGGCACAAGGTTCCCCCCCGCACTGTGGTCACATCCAAGTTGAGGCAAAGCATCGCAAAGGAGTTTTGGTGGATAGACCCGTACTGGCAGGAATCCATCCGACCTCTTGCACACCAGGAAGGCGAAGTACCTGCTGATACGGGGGTAGGAACTTGCTCAAAGCTGTTACAATCCTTGTCTTTGGCTCACATGGTTCATACGCACAGGGACGTGTCCTGCTCCGCAACGGCGGTCTCCTCCTGATACTAAACGTAGTGCAAGGCGGCTCAGCTGCGATAGGCTAGAAGCCGCCCGGCTTGACAAATAGCACCCTTCTCCTCGGAGGCGTCTGTGGCTTTGATAGCAATATAAAACCCAATGGATATGTCACTTACCATCAGTGGGGCCAAAATTGAGGCCAAGGTCAGCTCACACGCTACCGATCGAGGTAAGGGCGAAGGAGCTATCATCGTCCTCTTCGAAAGCCTCCACAAAAGTAAAGGCCTCGTTCAACAAGCTCATCATACGGCGTCGGAAAAGCAGCGTGGACACCCAGGCTCCAACCACACATCTACGCAGAGAAACCGTGGTGTAAGGAAGTGCACACTTCTGCAAGGTCGTGAACGACAGTGACAACCTCTTTGCCGCTGCAAAACCCGCAGCGCAGACACCATTCTTCACCGCCTCAGGGCCACAGTCGACGTAGGCCCCAATGACCTTGCCTTCCGAGCTGGCCTTGAGATCTTTCTCTGGAGACCCCAACAACTTGAAGTCATCCTAGGCGTGCTGAGCCTTCAGGTGCAACCGAGCAGGCGTCAACAGAAATGCTGAAGAAATCATCAATGACCAGACCCTCCACCAGGCTTGTACTCTGGCAAGGCCTGTTTGCAACAATATGAACATCTTCGTGAAGGAGTCCATAGGTGAAGAAGCTGCGTATGGGCATGCGTAGCAATCTCAACACCTGCACGATCGCCCTGCAGAACACTCTTGAAGCACGCCCAAACAAGACCATGCAAAGGCTTTGCATGGTCAAGCACCCCTTTGGCAGCGCCAACCGATCACCATGACGTTCTCAAGAGTAGTTCTTCTTTGACTGTTCAAGGAGGTACTGCTGATAGGCATCAGTGGATGCTACTGAGGAGGCTGGTAGACCGGGACCTAAAGCGTTTGAGACAGAACGTGCTTTTCTACCCACGACTGATGGTAGAAATCCGTTCTGTCAGAGATGGACACATGCGCTCGCTGAGAGTTGAGGTTCACCTCCAGGTCACAAAACAAAGGTCTTGTCCCGGAGGTAGGTTCGATGATGGACTTCCTCCCCCCTCCTATCACCAATTTGGCGATCCCTGTCAACCGACTTGTAACAGTTGAAGACCTTGACGAGCTCAAAGTGCTTCCGACAGTCAGCCCGCGAACGCCAACAGTCCCTGGCCTTGTCTCTGAACGGCTCCAACTCAGGAAATCTTGCGTTGTCTTGCGGCACCTCATAGCCAGCAAAAACCTTGGAGTATGAGTAGGGTGAAGATGAACTGCCAAGCATAGTCAGCATGTCAGTCTACTCACATAGACGTGCAAAAAGCTCTGGATTCCGTCGGCCAACAGGCAACATGTCAAAGGTAGCACTGAGGCCGTCCGATTTGATAAACCCCCGAACTCTTCTATAGAGAGCACGATGGGAAGAGCTCGGCGTTCTCTGCAAAGGAGCTCCAACAAACTCACCACCTGAATGCCAAAAGTTCAGGGCCATACAAATGACGTGAATCGCTGTGGCTAAACACACAGCTCGTCTCTTGTGGCTGGAGATCCTTGCAGGCATCCTGTCAAAACAACCATCAACTGGCAGAGGGACAGGGAACCAAGCCAGCGACTAAGGAGTTCTCTCAAAAGTATCTCTTGCAGCGCGGATGGAGAAAGCAAGGAAAAATGCAAAGGCTGTACGAGTTATCAACACCAGCGCGGTCAACTTGGAACACCACATTGGGAAGCTGACTTTCCTGATGTCATCGTGCTCTGACCCGCTGAACCCGTCCTTGGGATGACTCCGGCGTCCTTGGAATCGACGGCCTTCGCCAACGCCAGGAGAGCCCAAAGGCCTAAAAGGCAGCTCCCTCTGGGGGCCACATGCATGTCCAGGCATCATCGTCTTGGACTTGAATTCTGCTTGGTGGATCTGATCATCACTGTTGGGCTTCTTGGAGCGCGGGCCCTGTAAGGTAACTGCCAGGGTCGGCCGGGTTGGCTTTGCCTCGGGGCCGGATGTCTGCTGGGCTGTCAGGAGGGCCACTTGGGCAGACAAGGCTGCAACCTGCTCTGCAAGGATTTGTCATGCGCTTTGTTGTGGCTTTCTTTGGTGTGGAGTCTCGGGATCTGGCTCGTCTTGAGCCCTGTAAAAATGCACCCGACTTTATATCCCATCCTCCTTGAAATCAGAGGGATGGCACAAGCTTGAGTCTCCACACCACTTTCTGAGAGGGCTTCCAAAATATGAAGGACCAAAACAGAGTGGTCAGAGCTCCGTGCAGCGAAGCTCACTGCTTGGCGGTCCATCGCCACGGAGGAGGTACTGCAACCGTCGCCACAGCGCAGAAGATATGCAACTCAGTCAGCGTTAGGAACTTCTCAATGTAGACGATGTCAGGGAATGCCGCTTGCAGCCGATCGCAATCTGCTTGGCTTGTGACTCTCACCAAATCAAGGCCAGGCCCTTTCTTCAGCGCCCAATGGATTGAGGTAGGAATGCCCGGCTTGCTGGCTCTTGTAGTCGGTATGGCACGTCCAAAAGGCGCGCAGCCAGAAGCCTACCTTGTAAGCCTCACGGGCTCTGTCCTCAATGGCCGCCTTCGAGGAAGAGAGATGTCTTTTTGCAAGCTGCAAACAGAACTCTCTTCAAACTCGACGTACACTGGGCCCCCTTCAAAAAGTCAGGCGGTGCACCAGGGAGACAGAGGGTGCCCTTCTCCTCCCTTCTCTTCTCCACGAGATCCTGTGTCTGTGTGACTTGAGTCAGGTCCCGCACAGCCAAGGTCAGTGCCTGTAGTTCTTGACAAAGACGAGCCTGATCACTCATGCAAGTAGGCGTTCAGCCTGCTGGACGAAGATCGAGGGAGGTCACAAGGCCTAGGAGCCCGCGACTGAGCAGAGGGAGCAGGTGAGTATAGGAAAGTCCACGCCAGCCAAAATCCACGCAAGATGCCCAAAATCAAGCCGATTGAGATGCCTGAGCGGAAGGATGGCGATGGATCGGGCACGAAAGCGAGCTCGAAAGAGAGAGGAGCGCACCAGCACCAGGAGCCCCAGCAAAGCATGCGCAGCAGGCACCCACCCTTGAGCTTGACATACGCCCGCATCAGTCACAGTTAGAAATCACACATACATATTTGGAGCCTATAGTCCTGCACAGCTGTAGCTGTCAGGTCAGTGGCTAAGAGATCCACACACATATTTGAAGACTAGATTCTAGATGAAAAGGTTTTAATGGCCACTGGATCCCCTGTCCCCGTGGTTTCTATCTTGACGCACGCTCACGCTTTTGTGAGTGAGAACTTTCTTCTCCCGCAGTGGGCCCCTTAAAGACTCCTGAAAACAGGCTATCAGGTTGGAGACCATCGCTAGTAGGTTGGAGGCCATCGCTAGTGGGTTGGAGGTCATCGCTGGACCCCTTGCAGACTCCTGAAAAAGGCACTAGGGTGATCGAGAGCCTGGAACACCAAAAAAACCTTTAAAACACCTACTTCTCCGGAGAGGCAACATCAATAATTCCAATTCTCTCCGGCTCATAGCCTCTACGCTCCCTGGAATACTCGTGTTTAGTTTGGTGATAGTAGAATTGTGGCAGAGGAAGCCACTCAGTTCAATCCATGAAGCTCGAGCATGCCAAGATTGACTGGTCTGAACTTGCCCCTTTCCTTACTAAGTACTCACCGGACCCCTCGGCCACTCAGAAAGTCAATCAATTTCGAGTGACAAACTCTCATTAAACCGTTTGTTTCCCCTTTCCATGGCCGAGACCTTCTCTCTTCAGAACTTCAACGAGTCTCCTTCCCAACAGCGGCCATGGACTTCTCCATTCACCGTCACAACCCCGTCGTCATCACCCGTGAGCTCCGCATAGTACTGCATGGCCTGTGCCCGATAAACCCCACGGTCACACACATCCTACCGGACTGCAAATGAACGGCCACATGAAGGGCCTGCACGGACTTAAAGCCATCAGAAGAAGAAACGTCAATGCACGGCCCTTCCTGTCCGATTCGACCTGTGAAGGTCGAATCCAATCGTCATTAGGTCACTTGGAAAAAAACCACTCGCTACTTCTTCGGTTCCTTGCTTTTGCTTGGTCTGTTGTTGACAGTTTCTCTACAATGATGTTGTCTCAGATAATCTGAATAATTGTCAGCTAGTATACCCTCAAATTAGCTGCTGCCGCAATTACCAGGTTCTCACATCTATTGTTTAGTGTAGACCTGCAAATTCATCCAGCTGCAGTTCGCAGACAAATGGGTCTCAAATCCGATCGCCGCCTGAGACTCCATCAGTCTTGTTTCCCCACAAGGCTTGAGCAATGAAGTGTTCACATCGCTGATTTTGTCGAAGAACTTCGAAGGATCATGCCAAGAAATATTGTAACTACCTTGGTGTCGTGACGAAAAGAATACACTGGCAAAAAGAATCCTGTCAGAAAGGAGTCGGGTACTCTCTCGTACCGATTGCAAAACCTGCAGCTGAGCCACGGTAGAATTCCAGAGACAAACCTTGGCATCGCACTGAGCCAAGTCTTGGACGGCGCACAACCGGCGCAGGCACAGGGGATTCGAGTAAAACATGCTGTCAAGCGGCCATTCGCCTCATAAGCATTGCTGAGCACCTCCAGGGCTGTTAGATGGTTCTCCGAAACAACAAGTTCCATTCTACAAAGAAAACATTGGAACTGACGGCCTCTGAGGAGAGATACATGGAGCTCTTTCCAAAGTAACCCATATTTCCAAGATTCCTGCAGGTACCCATTTGAACCCAGAAAGCTAGGGGCACTCATCTCGAAACAAGCCCCACCAGGTACTGGAAACAATGGCACACATGCTAAAGTAAAGAGCTGATGCAGGAGTCACAAGAAGAAACTAAAAGTTCATGAATTCATGGAAAAACGAAGCAAACAGACTGCCTCGGTATTCTTTGACAAAGAAACTTTCCAAGGTCTTTCAACGCCCCCCCCAGCTGCCAAGATTCAACGGAGCCGTCGCCGGGTAGTCGCGCTGAATGTCGTTCCAAGTAGTTGTGTACAGCTCGGTCCATCCTTCAAGACTCACATGGTTGTAGGTAATTTCAGGCCCATCACCACATTGTCGGTCATTCACATCCTTGCTGACGACTCTTTCAAGAACCAAAACTCGGCCACACTCGACTGGCCGAGATGATTTACAAACACCTATGGCTTGGCAATCATTTTGTAACCGACCAAAAAAGATGACTGTTGTGTGCTGCTGACTCCTTTCGACCAACCTCTACTGTGGTAATGTGTTTCACGATGCAAAAGATCAACCAAACAACCCGGCCCTGATGTCTTCCCTCGGTCCTGCAAGATCCCAAGATCAGACTAAAAATTCTAGGAATACCAAAAATCCAAAAAGTGAGGATCTCATTGATGTTTTTGATTGAATCGAAACCGGTCAGCTTCTCTCACCTCCTCCCAAGTCTCAGTAGGTGCTGCACAGCCGGCCAAGGCATAAAAGGCATCTGGTGTTCCTGGACCTGGGCCATTCTGAGTCACATTGTAGCCCATCTTCTCCTGAAACGGATTCTGCCAAAAGAATGACCCGCAAAATGGACAACAACCAAGACAAGTCCAGAAAGTTGGCAAATGCAAGTCAAAACAATCTAAATGCGAGTGCACATGAAAGAAACGCGCGATCTTGAACACCATGCATGTACTGCACAGGTTCCTCCATCAGAACTTGGACAAGGGCAGAGGTTGCATAGGCCGCTTCCCAGCCATTCACCCACAGGCCAACTGGATAAGATTGCCCAGTCGAATGTATCAGGTTTTTCCTGCAAAAAAAAAAGGCGGGAAAGGATGTTCATTCCTGAGGGGTACTTGCGCATCAGACCGAATCGTAACACAAATGCACTTTGCAATATGAGCAATCATATGGCAAAGGAACCCAGTCAATTACAAAGCCAGATAGTGAGATGCGACCTTCCTACTATCAGTTGCTATCAACAAACGTTACCTCATGCAAGAAAAGGTTCTGGAAAACACAAGTTCCCTTCAACACAGGTTCCCTTCCGTTCACATGCACGCCACCAAAAAGCATCCTGAGGGTCTCCGGCACAGCATCTGGTAGGCATGAAGACGACGAAGTACTGAGGAACAAGTTTACGAAAATGAAAGGCGTGTATCCCCACATGGCGTGCGACTATCTCCCACGTCAAGTGCAGTTAGAGCCATTGCTGGCAGAAGAGAAGCGAGCCTCGCAAAAACCATGGCCCAAACAAGTCATCAAGACTTCGTGTATATACGCAACCCATTTCATTGGTTTCAGTTTGGAGCTCGTTCACTATTCTCAAACTACCCCAGACGTGAGGGAACGAAAGCCAGCGCTCGTAAAAAACGAGTAGAACAACGTGTTTCATTCAATAAACTCCGACAAACGATGAAAGTCTCCAACACTCCCGCACAGACCCTCTGACAATACCCAGACTCACTCGAAGCGGTCAAAATTGCATCTGCATGAAATGCCGCGTCGCTAAATATAGAACCATTTTTCGGAGGTTACCCTTTCTTGCCCCGAGACAATCTCCAAAATATAAGACAAGAAGGCAACCTACAAAAATTGTGCTTAATTTTTTTTTCTGCGTGGTGGCCCTCAGACAAAGCGCAGGAAAGCCACCAACCCAGAAATTCGGCTGAAGGGTTTTTCTTCGGCTCTCTGCATCTAGATCTGTCAAACACCCTGTTCCTCCACACCTGCAACGACACTTCATCTCAAGCGGGGGCTTGCAAGATTAGTAAAATGTTCGAACATGCATCTGCCATGTCCTGGTTTCTCAAACAGCTTCTCACAAGAGCCCGCTGTTCGGAGGTGCCGTGCGTTGCCCTGAGACGGCCTTCAATTAAGGCGCAAATGGGCACCAACAAAAATTCATCCCTAAGGTTTTTTCTGGCGAACTTGGCGCTGTAGCCGGGTAGCCCGCTTATTTTGTGCGTCCCTGTTTGCCCCGGCACGGCTGTCAAACAGTTGACAAGGTAGCAAGTTCAAGCAACTATTTTCCTCTATCTTCTGAGCATGTAAAGGCCTCAGTTAGGCACAGCTATATGACATGTCGGGATGGATTCAAAGATCAACACCCCACCTACGGCCAACGCAAAATGCACAAAAGTTGGTCGTACATGATCTTTTCAGGCTCAAAGCCTTCACACAACCTCCGCCTCAGGTTCGGCGGTGGGATCATTCTCCCGCAACTGCCTATTGAAGATCACGCGTCTTCGGACAGGCTCATCTTGTCGAATTCGGATCTGGCCTTCGTGGTCTGGCTCAACTTGTGAAGGTCTTTGTGAGCTGCTGCTAGGAAGTTGGGATGGACCAAAGTATGGCTGGCCATCCATGCAAGTGCCACACGGTGAATATCTTTTCAAATTTTGAGATCTCTGCACACGCATGCACTCCATCTGATGATACGCATTCCCTCGAGGTGTGATGATGATCTCCCGAGGGACTCCACAAATCATTGTAGTCACCGGTGGTGGGAGCTCGGCGAATTTCAAAGCACTGAACTCCAACACTCACTGTTTGTGTCATACGATCTTCATTTCTCACACGCCGGGTACAGCCCCTGCCAAAAATCACTCCAGCAAAGGAAGCCAAACAAGTGAGAAGAAATGCACAAATGCAAAGGGTCACAAACTTGCTATCAAATGTCACTTCCAAGCTTTCGAATTGTCAACCGTCAACTCCATGCATCATGCTTGAAGCCATGCATACCCTGCAAAAACGGAGGGGCGAACTTGTCCTTTCTGTTCCCAAATGAGTCCAGTGGTTGTGACAACAACTTTGGCGCCCGGTATGAGGCCAGTACTAAGAAACATGGCCTTGTCATATCTCGTGCTGGCAGTATTGGCAGTCGCTTCCTTTTTACCTACCGGCCTTATGAAGAGGGCTTGCTGGTCCTCATTCAGGTCGAGGGAGCTCAGCAACTTGGCAATAGCACGTCCCGCTGGGTTTTCTTGTGGGCGACACCAAAACGCAGATTGGTGGTAATGGCAAACCATGCGAGTAGAAAGGTGAGCGATCTGGTTTTACCAGCCCCAAAGACTCCTGCTGTGGCCAAGGTGGATCGGCCAGATTGCAGGGCTGCAACCATGGACAGGGCGATGGACATGATGTGAGCACTCTCTGTGCCAGCAGCAGTACACAGTTGCTTGCCAAAGCCACTGGCCTGGGGACAATACCTCGGGGTATCGGCCGTTGCCAGAAGACCGAAGAGTGCATGCAGGCTGTGCAGGAGCTTTTCAGCCCCTTCAAATTGGTAGGATACTGGAAGTGCATATGTTTTTTTTTCCACGAGTACGGACGCCGTGTGGGCATGGTGCCCAGGTCATCATTGAAGGAAGGGAAATACAGTCAGATGGTGGAGAAAAGGACAAAGACAACCCAACCAACAAAAAAACAACAGCCAACCACAGCCCAAAGGCCGAGTCTCCACCATCCTGTAGTCTTTCCTCTGTGCTAGGGTGAAACAAGTGAAACGATGACTGCTGACTATCGATGGGCCTGAATTCACGAAAGAAGAGCATGGCAGCGAGGGTTTGTGCTCTAGCAAAATCTCAAAGAAGTCGTCAAATGGACTTCACATCACTATTACCAGTGACCAGCGGCCACTGCACAGAGTGGCAAAAACATGGTCACGATGCAAGTCCCGGGCATTGGTATGCTCTAACGCAGGTTAGATCCTTATCTAAGTGGATCAGTGGTTGCTATGCAGATCATGCCGTGGAAAATACCTTTCTTGTAGCACAACCCATGCAACTGGTTGCACATACAAATCAAGAGGCATAGTAGTTGGTAGTGTTCAGACAGTGGCGGCCATAGCAAACGACGAAAGCCTGCAGGTAAGGGTGCGAAAGGCTCACCCCCCCGAAGGGAGGTCATCTCGGCACCCTTCGGCACACAAAGGTGCCAAAACGGGGTGTTTCCCTAACTTCGAGAAATGCTGCGTCATTGCAAAAATTGTTCTGTTGCGTGCAAGGCCCGTGTGAAACAGGTGAGACTTTGGACCTATCCTAGCATGGTATCTGTACCTCTTTGTACAAAATTGGAAATGTCGGACATCAACAGAGGGAACTAAGGTTCCCCCTGGGCATCCTCCATTGCCACTCTCTACCACCCGCCTGTTGGGAACGAGGAGCTAAGGCTCTCATTCCTATTGGCTCACTGTATTGCGAATGGCGAAAAGAGGTTGGCGACCCTACTTAGTGTTTGCACTTTTCACTTGCCGTAGCTTCCTGGCGGTGTGCTTATGCACCATTCCCGCTGCGAAAGCATTGCTGGTCTTTGGTGCAGGTTCTAGAAAGTCTTCTCTCCATAGATCACTGGCATCGGCCGGCAAAACTCGGTGCCATTCGGACTGGTCGAGTTACCCACATTTGTCAAGGGCATATGTCCCTCGCCATGTTTTGCTTTTTCTTTGTTTGCATATTGCTCGAAATTGCGTGCTACCTGCAAAAGCGCATCGCGCCATGTAAAGCAGGAGTGGAAACCTCCTGTAGAGAGGTACACTTGAGGGAGGCTTCTTATGCCGTGATCCTCAGTTTGGGACGGATCAACAGTTTGCAGCTGTTGGCGGCTCGCACAGGCGGTGGAGCCTATCCTGTTGAAGTCTGTCGGCAAGGCAAGTGCGACAATGCCCGCCTCCAGAAAGCAGCAGTCCGGCAAGTATCGGCTTGGGTGCGCTGCATCCGGCTCTGGCATACCTAAATTGATGTGACTCAGAGCTGTGCATGCTTGAAAGCTCGCGGCCTCAGTTGGGCTTGGGGGGCTAGCCGATTGCTAGGGCATTGAGCTGTGCCCTCCCTTGTCAAGGAGTGACACTATTCGGATGCTTTAGCGCCGAAATGCTTGCAACCGAAGCAAACTCTACTCGTGAAATTTGGCCTACTGTGGCTTCTGGCCTACTCTGGACTCGAGCTAAGGCGCGCGCCCAGACTCTTGATGGGTGACGGTGAGACCGCGATAGCTGTGGTCAGAGAGGCATGTCTTCATCCAAGACCAGGGGTGCATCCCATGTCCGGGATCATATGCAGCCAGGGTGGCCACCTCATATCTGGACAAATGGCAAAAGCATTCTCTTCAGCATAGACTCCTCGCCATTTGCGCCTTCCTGGCATCTTGGCGAGCCTCTTAAAGGCAGTGCAATCCAAGAAAGCCCTACTTCCAATATATTTTAGTGAGGGCAGGATGGCAAGCTCAACAAGGGCTGCACAGTTCAGGCTTTAACTCGAA